TATATATATATATATATATATATATATATATATATATATATATATATATATATATATATATACATAAATACAAATATAAATACAAAATATATAAATAAATGTAATTATAGATAAAATATAAATGTTATATATATCTCTCTACCTGCACGCGTGCCGCAGCGAATCCGTGACGCAGAAAGTCTTCATACTACAGATACAAATATAAATATAAATATAAATAAAAAAAACGAAAAAATAAATATAAATAAATAAAAATAAATAAAATAATAAAATAAATAAATAAATAAATAAATAAATTATTTACATATATACCTGTACGCGTCGCATGCGTGCCTCCGTGGAGCCCTTGCACGCCTCGATGGTTTCCTCATTATAAGTACAAATATAAAAATAAATATAAATAAATAAATAAAACGAAAAAATAAATAAATATAAATATAAATATATAAATAAAAATATATAAATAAAAATATATGAATAAAAAAATAAAAACAAACATAAAAACATACCTGAATTGAACAGCTTGCATAGTGAAACCGTTGCATGCCTCGACAGAGGTTTCCTCATTATAAGTACAAATATAGACATAAATACAGATAAATAAACAAAAATAAATAAATAAAAATAAATAAAAATAAATAAAAATAAATAAATAAAAATAAATTAAATAAATATAAACATAAAAACATACCTGAACTGAACGGCTTGCATGCGTGCCTCAGTGAAACCTTTGCATGCCTCCACTATAAGAACATAAATATAGACATAAATACAGAAAAATGAAGCAAAAAACCAGATAAAAATAACTAAATAAAAATAAATTAAAAATAAATAAATATAAAAACACACCTGAACTGAACAGCTTGCATGCGTGCCTCAGTGAAACCTTTGCATGCCTCAACAGAGGTTTCCCCATTATATAGACATAAATACAGAAAAATGAAGCAAAAAAACAGATAAAAACAAATAAAAATAAATAAATTAAAAATAAAAAACAAAAACATTCATAAAAACATACCTGAATTGAACAGCTTGCATGCGTGCTTCGGTGAAACCTTTGCATGCTTTGACCGAGAAGGTTTTCCACTTTTCTTGTCCTTCTTCAGACCATCGAGCGATCCATGCATTCCTAGAATGACAATATTTAACCCCAGGTAGCCTCGGAGTTATTTTTGTTGTTGTTGCTGCTGTTGCTGCTGCTGCTGCTGCTGCTGCTGCTGCTGCTTGGGCTGCTGCTGCTGATGCTCGTTGTCCTGTGCAAGAACTTGTCGATGAAGGAGACAGAGAAGAATAGTTTATTATCTCGTCCGGAGAACGACGGCTGCTGCTGCTTGCTGCTGCTGCTGC